AAAAAATTAAATGATTCATTTTGGTATTTAATTTAAAATAATAATTTTAAAAAATCTTGTTGTTGTTCTCCTAGTAAAGCAGGTTTGGTCCTCCATACACTGATCTGACTGGCTGCATTCCAAAGGTTCAGCGTTGTATTACATGACGCTCATCTATTTACTGAAAATGTTCATAAAACCAGAGCAAAATCAGGGAAAAGAAACAGTCTGACATTGTTCTGTCGGATAACAATCTAGCGATCACACCTTCAGTTAAGTTTAAACATTAGGACAGTTCAATCAATGCACCAAGAGCTTCTCCAACCCCAGCACTGCTGCTAAACCACCATGGTCTTCATAAGCTTTTGTTTTGGTATTTTATCCTCAAAAAATGTGTTTTGCTCGCCAAATGTTGGATATACTGAACTCTGGCACCAACTCTTGGCACAAGTTAGTAGTTGCTGGTTTGAAACTTGGAGAATGTGTGACACTTGATAATCGACACTTCAAAACAAAGTCTTTATGACTGACACGACTCCACCGACAGCTCTGAAGGACAAAATCTTAACAGGAGAAAACCAATCACTCCCTAAGAGCTTCGCCAGTGTTCATCGAACAACATACAACATGTGAATCACACAGGCTTAAAGCGTCTGAAGGTTTTCTCTTTGGTTAGGGCTGAGCTAACGGTTCCCCTCTGCTTCCAGTCTTTGTGCTAAGCTAGGCTAAACACATCACAGAGACTTGATCTGTTTCAGTGTCAGACTGTTCCTGTAACATCAGTCCCAGAAGTTGTGTGAGGTGGTTTCAGACATGTGACTGAACAAAGTGAGGTCAGATTTAGTGGTTAGTCCTCTCGCAGCAGGAATTCACACAGATGAGCTGTAACTGAAAGAGAGGAGCAATTAAAGCCACTGCTGAAGCTTTTATAGCTGCGAACAGAAGTGGGCCGTAAGAAGAGGACCGGTCCCCTAGTGTAGTGATGATTCCCTAAAATCAGTATTTTCACTGAGAGCGACTGAGGAGGTTAACAAACCTCCTCCCAGTACTGAAACTGCTCAACACGCTGCATCCTGTACAAAAGGTGCTTTAACAAATACTCTGTACTTGACGGCTGCATAAAGATATTTACATAATGCTAGAGAGTTATCTACATAGTGCCAGAGAGCACGAGCATGTGCTATCAACAAAGACGTCATCTAAATGCAATCACAACAATGATTCTATGTGTATGTACACACACATGTTTATGTAAAAGCGAGAATTTGGGTTGTTTTATTATTTTTCTCCACTTTTAAACATTGAATGCAACAATTTGGAGATAACAGATTTTCTCCAAACGTTTCCAGTTGTAAAGAATTCTCTCACAATCAGAAGAAATAAATGCGAGTTTGTCCCCTCCAGCTGTTTGTCTGCTGTAGAGTATTTAACTGTAGGTAAAACCCTGACAGCAGTTTTCTACTTAAAACAACTTGGCTTTGACCTTGTGTTCATGTCTTTGGGTTACTGAAGTCAGAGTTGTTACCTGATTTCATGGAAACATTTATTCAGCTCAGACTCTGGAACTTCTCTCTCAGATTTTTCACGATGCTCTTTTGGCCAGTTTCCATCTTCTGTCCAGAGTTTGATCTCGATCTCTGGGGCACGTCCTGAGCTGTAGAGGCTGCTGTTGCCTTGTCGAGCTCTTGAGGCTTTGCCGGCTCATTTTTGGCTTTTGCTTCCTCCCTCTGTTTATACTCATCGGACTCCTGATAGGCCCGGCAGCGGTCAATGACGGCCATGATGGAGATCTTCTCCCGGCTGGTCGGTGAACGGATCTGGACATAGCTGTCATCATCTTCTTCTTTGGGTTCTTTGGCTGCTCCTTTCCGCTCTGGACACTTCTCCATGATGATGATCTTGTGTTCGGGGTCGTTCAGTAGCGGTGCCTCAGCTGCGATGTAGTAACCATCGTACTTGCCATTTGCAACCTGGTCCTGGAGCTTCTGCAGCTCAGTCATTTGAGCCCCGCTCAGCCGAGGGTCCAAAGAATTGGCTCTGTGAAGCCGTTTGTTGCGTTCCTCCCGGCTGGTGTCCCGGCTACCTCGAGGCTTGTACGAAGGACCCTCGCTAGAAGCTCCGTCAGCGAGGGGGCTGGAGGAGCAGCTGGAGTGCCTCCTCAGACTGCCGTCAAACATCTGCTCTGGGATGGAGCGACTGCGGCTGACGGAAGTCTTCTGCGAGCCACCATGGTCGGAGTATTTGGAGCGGAGTTCACTGACGTCGGGCCAGTTGAAGCCCTCGACGGGAGGAGTAGGACTGAGGGGGCTGCGGGAGCGAGCCCGACCCGGGGAGACCCCCCTGGAGCCGCCTACAGAGCTGCACGTGGGGCCAGGGGTCGGAGATCGGGTCTGATCTATGGGACTCAGTGGCAGAGAGGTCGACTGCTTAGAAGAAACTAGCGGCAGAGTCAGGTTGGGTTTACCTGCAAAACATAAAACCAGTCATCAGCTTGAAGTATGATTTCAGTTTCTTTTTCTTTTTCTTTTTTTTTGATATTTGACAATTAATGTTTCAGACTTCATATTAGCAAACACAAACGACTCAAAACTAATAAAAATGAACAAAAATCAGACCAAAGCTGGAATAAACTGGAAAAAACAATGTTTTAAAGTGTTGTTTCTGTTTCTTCTCTTTTGACTTGTAAAATCAGGCAGCACTTTAAATTGAACCAGTCTGACCTGATAAGTTCTGCTTCCAGCTGATGCTGGCGGTACAATATACACAGACCCTAAAGGTAAATACACTGTTTTTATGTCAGGTAACATGATCAGATTGTTGAGAAAGCTGGCAGGCTGGACCACAGTGTTTATTTGAATGTCTAGTATTTGCTGAAGGCAGGGAAAGCTCAGACTGGCAGTATTTGCCAAATCCAAACTCTAACACTAAACAGGACGTCACTGTACCTGTACTCTCCTTCTCCTCGACCACACAGGCTAAGCTCTTCTTGGCGATCAGGAGGCCCTGACTTCGTTGTCGAACCACCGGTTTAGAGGTTTTGATTCGCTGGCTGTACTGACGGGCCAGATGGAGGACTTTGCTCTTCCCTGTGTCCATGTCGTCCAGCTGGTTTGAATCCTCACTCGGCCTTTCCCTCTCTGATTCTGCCCTCAGCTGGATGACCCGAGGCACCGGAGCCCTGAGGACGACGGCCTCTTCCCCAAACACCTTTAAGGCGTCCTTCAGACTTCCTGTCCGGTTCACCCCTGAGACCTTAGACTTGAGGGGTGAAGGACTGGTGGACTCCTCTGTGATGGTGCTGAGGTCAGATGCTGTGCTCTCTTGGTCACAGCACTTGGTGAGGTTAGAACCACCGGTCGCTCTGGAAATTCTTAGAGCTTCTCTGGATCGGTCTCGCCCTCCATCGTCACTCTGGGATTTGGTGATCTCTCGCTCCATCGCTTGCCAGATCTTGATCATTTCAGATGAAGGTCTGAAGTCTTCATCCTCAAATGGATTATCCTGCATGCTTTGAGACCTGGACCTGCGGCTTTCTCCTGAATCTTCTGGATCAGTGCTTCTCCCATCAGACTTCAAAGAGTCCAAGGATTCACTGGAGACCATGCGATCTGAGGCATCTGCGGGTAAAGCTGAGTGGGAGTCCACAGAGAAAGGGTCCAGACTGGTGGAGGGGTTTGTCTGGACGGTTTCATCCCTTGGGATGCTGTTGAGCCGGCTGACGGAGCTCCTGACCAGCCCAGTCGGGATGTATGTCAGACTCTCTCTGCGCTGGAGGCTAAAGGTGGCATCTTGGTTTCCGGCATTCTCATAGTAAGTCTTGATTTTCCCGATGAGCAGCTGGTCCTGCTTGGACAGGGTTGAGTCCCTTCTCCGCCGAATGCCTCTGTCAGCGTCAAAGAGGCTGTCGTCCCGAGGAGATAACATGGTCAAATCTGTCACACTGAAGGTCTCCACTGAATCAGAAGAGATACTGTTGAGCCGCAGGGGTCGGTCGGCTGGTTCGGCGCAGAGGCTGAGGCTGCTGCCGGTCCTGCTGGGTAACCGAGGTGAAGCACAGCCGAGAGATCGGGTGTCGTCCTGGGCCAGGCTGCCTCGCTTAATACTGTTGGTGAAGTGCTGAGCGATGGCGCTGGCTTTGTCGAGGACAGAGGATGGGAGGATGCTGGGCGATTTAAGCACCTTCTCTGCAGCCTCCTTCTCGTCCTCCTCCTCGGAGGATTCCCCGCTGCTCAACGTCTTTGAATCTGAATCTGGCGTGGCGGAGCATGGTTCCTCTGTGGGCTCTGGATCTTCTTCAGGCTTCAGTTCTTCTGACTTTTTAGCAGAAGCTGAGATCATGGGAGGATCCAGATCAGAAGACAATTCTGGTTTTGGGTTTTCTGGCTCAGATGTCTTCTCCTGTGGCAGCTCATCTACAGATGGCTGGAAAGGAAAGGAAAAAACATTATACACTAATGAGTCTGAGCGATATGATCACCTGTCAAGGATGCTACTGGATAGCACTGAATTACAGAAACTGGAAAACGGGAAGAAAACTTATATCAAATATAACGACTGCCTCAAACCTGTAAGTAATCAATCAAGCTTTTATTTACCTGCTCAGGTGTCGGTTCAGTTCCTCCTGGTTCATCTTCTTCAGGAAGTTGTCCATTTTCTTTGTTAGAGCTGCTTCCCTCTGTCTCCTTCAACAAAGAATACACAGGCAAGGCGTCAAATGATATCTTTAATACCAGCAGCCAAAAGGACGGAACAGAGTTTAAATATCATCAGATAAAGGCCACAAACAAACTCTCACGCTGCTAACTCATTCTCAAAGGGTCACTTCACTCAAAGTATGCTTTCTTGCAGAACTTCACACCAAACTCAACTCAAATGCAACAGAACACTGAGAGGCAGCAGCAAAAAAAAATCTTGTCCAGCTCAGCAACCTCAAACATTCAGTAATGTTTTGTTTTCAGCCCCACAGCAATAAAGTTAAACAACAAGCTGCAGGTCATATGCCTGAAAAAGCTCCAATAAAAACAAAAACACCACAAAACTAGCTGCAAAAGAGGTAATAAAAGCCATTGGACTTAGTTATCTGATACATTAAAGTAAACGTTTTGGGGAAATCCTTGTTTGCCAGCTTCTCCCAAATCAGATGTGTTTGTATTCAGTTCAGAAAGAGGTCAAGGAAGTGTTTAGCCTAGCTTAGCACAAACAGTTGAAGCAGAGGGAAACTGCTAGCTGAGCTCAATTACCCTCTTCTACAGCAGCACTGAGCCTTTTTCCATCTGATTTGTTTAATGCCTAATAACGTCTCATGGAAACATCACAACACTGGGATTAATGGCTTTGAGCAGCATGTTTGAAATGTAGCCAAACTGTGGGTGCCAGCGCTCACACAGCAGGGGGCGCTGCTGCACCGACTGTGCTGAATAAAATCCCTAACTAGCTTTGATAACAATTATGTTTGATGTAATGGCGTATACATCTTGAGGTGGTCTGCTCTGGGTGTTTTAAATTTTTTGATGCCTTCTGATCAGTTTTTTCTTTCTGTGTCAGAAAAACATAAAGCTGAAGATCACTTGTAAATCGTAAGCATCACGTTTCCTGCTGTCAGGATGCATTTACAGTCAGACATCAGAGGACCCTGAAATGAACCCTGAGGAACTCCACGTCAGCTAACCAGCAAGGTTAGTACGGAGCATAAACTGGACAAGCCAGGGTGCTGTGTGAGGTTGTAACTGGTTAAAAAAATAAAATAAAAAAACGCTGAAAAAACCCACAATGGATTTCTTTTTGGCACCTGTTCACTAAAAACAACATGCAAGTCTGATAGACTTAAGTTTAGGCTAACAGTTTCCCTGTGCTTCTAGTCTTTGTGTTAAGTTTGACTAAAACCATCCTGAACACAATGATTCAACTGAAACAATCAAATTTAAGAGAAGCTGAAAACAATTAGAGTCACACAACAGAACTCTCCCATTTTACTTCTTCAACTGTTGCGGCACTTTTGAGGACATAAAGGCTCCCGTAGCATCACCCTGCTGTGGTTTAGCGTGTTGAGCCCCAACATGCAGCTCGGCTGGTGTTAGTGCCACACATGAAGCCCATGCAGCAGTTACTGAGAGCTCCAGAGCAGCAGGAGTTATCGCTGTTATCCACTTAGTGTGTTACAGAGCTGGTGCAGGCCGGGTGGAGACGCAGGCGATGAAGACCAGGCTGGCAGCAGAAAGCCTCACCGTCCCCGTGGAGGAAAGGAAGGCCTGGACTGTGTAGTGCCAGCAGGAGATGGCAGCCAGAACAGAGCTGGCAAAGTCCTCTACCTGCTCGTCCTCCAGCAGAACCTCGTCCAACCGTCCCGCCTCATCATCCTCCTCTTCCTCGCTGCACATCAGTCGTTCCAGCGAGTCCTTCCTGCTGCCCAGCTCATCCCCGTCCTCCTCCTCCTGGGCGGGCCGGTCGGTCTCAGACTCCCCCAGGCTGCTGGATCCCAGTGTGCTGCTGCTGACGGCAGGCTGAAGCGAGCGCCTGTCACCCACTAACACCCCCTCGCTGTCGGAGTGCTGCAGGACGTCACACACCGCTCATCCTGAATGTGGTCTTTAAAACTAACGTGCTGCTTTGACGGCGAGGCTGCATCACAGAGCAGCCTGGCCGCTCAGTATGACATCCATTCATTTACAGTCAAATCACCAACAGATCACGAGTAAGTACACTTCACAGAGTCACAACAAAACACAGAACACCAGGATGTGTTGTGATACATAGAGGAGCAGCAGTAAGCAGAAATGTTACCGTTTGTGTTAAATCAGTTTGAGTCTTACCTGCAGGAGCGCTGAGAGTTCAACCCGAGAATCAGCAGCAAAGGAGGAAGAGCAGAAGAGGTGATTGGTTAAACACAGAGGGCACACAATAATGCGAGAGCTGACAGAACGCATCGTGTTCTAAATCTGTGTATATTAGCCTAATGTTCATCTGATACAGTAACACCATGACTGTAAGACATTTAAACATAACAAAAAGGAAGTTCTGAAGACTTTTCAGTGCTGAAAAGTAAGGACAATATTTTCTAGCCATTAGAATTTCAGAAATCAATTGTCTGAAAAAAAAAAGGCTTTGTAAGCCTTTTATGAATCCATTAATAGTTTCTGTCAGATTTTAAAACTAAAACATCAAATATGTTCTCTTTGAGCTTCTAAAATGTCACAGGGCAGTAAAGGAAGCATCACGATGCTCTGTGGAAGCCAGCTGTAGTAGTGTTCACTATTTTCAGACAATTTAGGGACAAAGTAATTGATTAATCACTCAAGAAAACAATCACAAGCCGCAGCTTTGGTATTTTCTCATTTTTATGTTCTGACTTTGTATATTTAAATTTGAACTGTTCTCTGACATGAATTTGTATTGTGTTGTTCAATGTATTTTTTTCATATCTGTTATTGTTTATTGATTCTAATGTTGGTATTGTACTTGTTTTCCAGTCATATTCACCGATCCTGACTTGCATGAGAAGTGCATGTGTATACATACAGTCTGGTTGGTGATGGTGATAGTATTCCTGTATAAAGCACTGGGCTTTAATGGTGCATGTTTGGGGCACATATTTTGGGCCTTGTGGATTTTTTCTTATAGATTCTTGTTTCAATAATAAAATCTAAAAAAATTGTAAAAAACTGCTGTGCATTGTGTCACAGATTCAAAGTGATGAGCTCTGCTGTCAGAAACTCGTAGACTAACTCTAGTTTCCTTTAAATGCAGCTTTTAATTTTAACATGAAACCATCAAAGACAAAGTGATGGAATCTTAGATGTTGGAACATTTGTGAACACAACTAAACAGCTATTAAAAAATCTGATGTTTCCTGGTTGCTGGCAGACAAAAAAAAACAAAACATCGATCAACAGAAGCTCCAGAAAAGGCCTTCTGGAGGATTAATATAGAAACTACATTATTTTTACCTTTGGAGTTTTTCAGTTGTTTGATTGGCTCTGGAAAGAAAACAAAACAGAGTAAACAGTTACCAAAAAATATGAATGCAACACGCTGGTCAGTAATTGGATCGTTCTGAGTGGTCACCTGACTGTCGACGGCCGTGACGGGCATCTCGTGGAAACTCGTCAGACTGGCAGGACAGAGCTTTCTTCAGGCGCTCAGGACTGTAACGATACTTGGGAGGGTCTGCGGGAAAACAGCAGCATGATTGACAGCAACAGGAAAAAAACAAAGTGTGGTTTCATCCCGCTTGCTTTCAGTTTTTATTGCTTTTCTCTGAATGTATACAAAATCCTTACAAGCAGGATAGATTTGTACTTACAGATGGAATCCATTTCCAGGATGGCCTCTTTAGCCTGAAACACACAACAGACGTCTTCTGTTACGAGTGTCTACACTACTCAGACTGCTGTGTCTACTGGTTTTACTGGTCCCTGACCTTCTGTGGGATGATGGCGTGGTGGTTTTCCAGAATGATGCGTTTGATGTGATGAGCCCACAGCTTCTTTTCTTCCACCGTCTTCGCCTGAAATGTGGAAACAAGTAATGAGCAACAACTGTTTAATCAGATCAGTTGGTGACTGAGCCACATGAAGTCGGCCCAGCTAAATTAGCTGTAGCATCACTAATCTGCTGGCTGCTTTCTCAATTAATGGTTTTGTCGGTAAAATGTGTTGTTTAAGAGACATCCAGTTTACTATGATGTATGGCCAAAAAACAGCATCAAATCCTCCTATTTAAAAACCTGCAAACAGCAAATATTTGACATCTTTAATTAAAAAATAACAACACAATTACTGGATTATCATCACAGTGGCAGATTATTTTCTATCAATTAGCTAATCAAGTCTGCACACACAGCAAACTGCTTATTTCCTCTCTGTGAGCATTCAGTGTTCTTCTACTTGTTTAGGGTTAGGGTTTATCAGCTAGAATAAACAGAAATCAATAAAATGTTTAATCAATTTATTGTAGCAGCACTAAAATAAGCGTTTTAGTGATTACCTGTATACACATAATTATCTACCTATAAACATATGCACACATACACACTTTTCATATACAGTTGAAACCAGAAGTTTACATACATTGTATAAAAAGACACAAATCCTTTTTTTCTCACTGTCTGACATTAAATCAGACTAAACTTTTCCTGTTTTAGGTCAGTTAGGATTACCAAAATTATTTCTATTTGCTAAATGCCAGAATAATGAGAGAGAGATAGAATTTTTTTATTACTTTCTTCAAAGCCAGAAGTTTCCATCAACTAAGATGCCTTCAAACTATTTGGGAAAGCTCAGATGGTGATGTCATGGCGTTGGAAGCTTTTGATAGGTTAATTTGAGTTAATTGGAGGCACACCTCAAACACACTGCTTCCTGTTGTGACAACGAGAAAATCTAAAGAAATCTGTTAAGGAAGAGAACCGTGGAGTCCTGCCCCGACATGAAAGGATATTCAGAGAGGAAGAAGACATTACTCCAGAAGAAACATCAAAAAGACAGATTACAGTTTGTAAATGCACACAGTGACAAAGACCTTAATTTCTGGAGACATGTCCTGTGGTCTGATGAAACTAAAACTGAACTGTTTGGCCTTAATGACCATCGTTACATTTGGAGGTAAAAGGGGGAAGCTTGAAGCCTGAGAACACCATCCCAACTGTGAAGCACGGGGGTGGCAGCATCATGTTGTGGGGGTGTTTAGCTGCAGGAGGGACTGGTGCACTTCACAGAATAGATGGCATCATGAGGAGAGAACATTATATGGAAATATTGAAGCAACGTCTCAAGACATCAGCCAGGAAGTTAAAGCTTTGGCACTAATGGGTCTTCAGATGGACAATGACTCTAAACATACCACCAGATTAGTTACAAAGAAGCTTCAGGACAACAAAGTCCATGTTTTGGAGTGGCCATCACAAAGCCCTGATCTCAATCCTGGAGAACATTAGTGGGCAGAGCTGCGATCAAGGCAGCCAACAAACCTGACTCAGTTCCACCAGTTCTGTCGGAGGAATGGGTCAGAATTCATCAAACTATTGTGAGAAGCTTGTGGAAGGAAACCCAAAACATTTGACCCAAGTCATACAGTTTAAAGGCAACGCTACCAAATACTGAGGAAATGAATGTAACCTAAAATTCTGTCCTCTGATTAACTCGAGTTATTTCGTCTTTGCCGCACTCCTGCTCCTCTTCCATATTGACAGAAATAACTTCATGCAGATACAACTAGATATTTTAAAGTAGTAGTTTTCTAAAATAGTTTGAAACTGAGGGATATGGGCAGCAAATACAACAGGATGTAAACTGTCATCCTCACATTACCTTTGGAGTGAAGCTGGTTGTTGGCAGGTGGAGAGCGACTCACCTGGACAGTGTGAGGCTGTTTGGGGTGTTTGTAATGTGTGACGCTGAAGCTCAGAGAGTCTTTGGCGCTTTCAATCAGCATCAGAGTGGAGGACTTGAAACACAGAGAGAGAAATAAAATTCAACATCTGCTTCTAAAAACCTGTGGGACAAACAGAACTAAGATGTCAGTTGGCATGTTTGTTGCTGTTGCTTACAGAGATGTGTGTCTTGTAGACGTAGTGCTCTCCGCGGCGTTTGGTGATGAGCAGCATGCGGTCGAACAGGAAGAGCGTTCTCTCATTTTTGGCCCGATGAACCTTAAAGGTTCCCTCCAGAACCAGTTCTCCGTATGTGGTGAGGTCAGGACCTTTCCAGTTCAGCAGCAATGACTGAACCTCCTGAAAAAAAGATACAGAAACAGTCAGTTGGTTTTCCTCTGGAGCTATTTACCTTCTGTGCTCTGAATGTTAATTAGGATGGCTGAACTGAACCCTGAATATCAACTTGTGAGGTTACAGCTAGCCTACGTTTAGCTTAACATCCTAAAAAGAGAAAAATCCCTGCCAAAACTACAAGTTGTTCTGACTCACAGAACAGATGTGTGTCAGATCCCATTTTCTTGATCAAAATAGTTCTGTTGTTTCATTATAACAGGACATCTCAGTTGTGGCTAAGTAAAATATGGTGCTTGATGTAATGAAGCATCTAAAAATAAATTCATTTTCTTTCAAATCTGTCATAGTTAGGAAAGCCCTCACTTTGATCTGAAGAAATAAATCAGCATATTCAACTTCGGTCTAATCTGGCGAAAAATTATTGTGTATTTTGGTTTTGTGTAGCCCAATTTTAGATAGATATAAAGTTAAATGGTATTGTATTTATCTACTACTCCCACATTTATTATTAATATTATTATTATTATTTACACAAGAACCACTGATTGCTTTTAGTTTTGTCAGTAACAGTATTTTTTCTTTCCCTGTCCACTGTGTGTTTGTGTCAATCATGCAACTATCCTGATATAAATAAAGTTTTATTGAATTCAGAAAACAGCACGCGATCTGTAAATATAAGACAATAAATAAATGTTCTGTAAAAAGAAACATGGAAAAGAAAAACAACAGTGGACCCACGACTGAATCCTGTGGAACTCCACTGATAAATGTTAAATGTTGTGTCTTTTTAGTCAGTCAGCTCGTCAGATATCCATCGTGCATCCACCTGGTTTATTCAGTAAAATTGTGCAATTAATGATGCAGATTAATTCAGTAATTTAGGTGTCTAAATTTAACAGTTCAAGTTAGTGACCTGCAGTCTGACGGCGTGCTCGTGTTTCCTCTTCATGTCATTGATGTACCAAGCCACTCCTGTCATGGTGTAGATGGCCTCCTCCACCACCTCGTAACCCTCCTCCTCTGGGTCAAAGTGCTTCGCTATCTCCTAAACAACACAATTACAAACAATAACAATCAACCTGAAGTCAGAATGAAAACAACAGTTTTTATGCAGATGTTTGTGTGAACTGTGAGGATACTTAAAGTTTAGTAACCTGAGCAGAAAAGGTTATCTCATGCATGCTTAAGATACATTTATACAACATATTTATACAGTTTTAAATGTAGGTGTTATCGGCCGTCAGGTGTACTGGTGTGGTACCTGGAGCAGCAGGTGGTATTTAAGGATCCTCTGAACAGGTTTGAGCAGGTATGAACCCAAAGGCAGCGATCGCTTCAACGACCCCTGACGCTCCCGGAAAAACTTTGCCAGAGATTTATTCCGCATGCACTCCGTCAGGGCAGCGACTGAACTGCAGCCGGTGGGAGAACGAACAAGTGTAAACAGAGAGAGAAGGTTGTTAAAAATGTATGTGTGCAAGAAAAAAAAAAAACGTGTTAACATGTAAAAAACTGGTGCAAACAGAAAAAGAACAAGTATGGACAGGTGACCAAGTACAGAGCAGGTGCGAGCAAGAAGAAACAGGTATCACTGTGATTATCTTCTTTGAACTGGTGCACCTCCACACGTTGCACCCTTGTAAATAACTCCAGTTCTATGGTTCTTATTTAAACTTAACTTAATTCTTCACTGCACAATATCTTTTGCTTCTGCGTTGCACGACTACAGTTACTTTTATTTTTACTTTTATTTTTAATTCCTTGTATTGTGCAAACTATATCTGGCAATAAATCTGTTTCTGATTCTGATTCCAAACAAAACAAATGAACTTAAAAATGGGCTACTTTGGCCCCGATGTCTATATTTGCTCTGTGGTTTATCATTTTGGTTACACAAGCCCAATTAATAAAGAAGAGGATGTTGGGATGATGGAACGTTAAATATGTTACACATAAATAAAGGAAGGCATTCAAAAATGTTGATACTACGATTTTAAGTTTTTACTACAAATGTATATCAGTTCCAAATAATGGCTGTGGGCCCTTTATGACCGCTAATAACCCACATCAGAACCAGCCCTGAATAAACATAACAGCTGATGTCAGTATAACATGACACCATTTAGCACAACAACATCACACACTAACATCAGATGAATCCAGCAGACTGTCAGGACTTACTTGGGGTAGTTGGTGCAGTACTGCGTGTAGATTTCAAAGTACTCGCTCTGAAACGACAGCATCAGATCAAGATATTTATGAACTCTGGTCTGTGGTCACGGTTTCATCTTAAACTTTGATATTGAATTGAAGACGCCTCCAGCGACCTTCATCACTCTCACCTTCATGACGAAGCACCTGGCGACTGCAACGGGATCGTTGTCGCACAGGTCGAGAGCCTGAAGCAGCTCACTGTGAACAGGAAACACAATCACCATGACGACAACTATAACAATCGGCAAAACCTCCCATCCCCACTGCTGCTGAGGTCGTATACAAAGACTCTTCGCTTCATTTCTCTGACCTTCATACAACAACAGAACAAGGTTTTCACATCTGAGTGTTTCCTTTTAGCATTTTCCATTGATGAATAGTCACAGTCGGGATTTCAGTGTTCTGTGTTATTGTTGTTTTAACTGAAATCATGACTGATGACATTCAGACATGAGATTTCAGATTTTATTTTCACCTGTTGAACTCGTAGATGTCCTCGATGTTCCCAAAGAGAGAACAGACCTGCTCGGGACGGATCGATAAATCAGACTGATCAATGATGTGAGCCAGGTAGTCCTGCAGGAGGAGGAAAGGAAAGGAAAGGAAAGGAAAGGAAAGGAAAGGAAAGGAAAGGAAAGGAAAGGAAAGGATGACAATATAAACAAAGCAAAGAGGGGAAATGAGGGAGGAACAAAGAAGAGAATGAAGGAAAAAGAGGAGGGAGGTGAGGAGGAGGAAAGAAGAGAGAAAGAATTAGATGACAGTTATTAAAAAATTGCAATTTAATTAAATGAAATGATGAGGATAAATCTGGTTTTGTGTGTCAGTATAAATCAGTTTTTCTTCAACAATGTCTTTGGTTGTCCAGCAGGTGGCAGACTGAGCTCTGTGTGATCAATACCACTGTAATCTGATTACTTCTGGCTCAATAAGTAAGTGTGTTTGTTTGTGGTGCTCGGTTAAACGGCTAAACATCAGCTGCAGGCTTTAAAGACTTGATTTCTTACCTTCAGTTTATAAATTATGAGTTTATGATATTATGACTAGAAGTTATTATAAATGGCTGCATGGATTATAATTCATTTATTTATAAGTGACTGCAGTTGAGTATTTGAAGTTAATCAGATGTGTTTATTTATCAAGGGAACTTATGTCTTACGATAAGTACATTTTTACGTTTCCTTTAAATGTAGAAAAAACTGACAACTCAGCAACAATAAACAGAACTTCATTCGGATTATTTCACATATTTAAAAACTTGGACATCAATTATACTGCACACATCTTTATTTTTAAATATTTATTGATGAGTTCTGTTAAATACTTATCAAATACATTTTAACTCATACCCACACATGCTGATATTAAAGATGGTTAAGATGTACAATTCTATCCTGTTGTATTGTATACAGCAAATACAGAATATAGTCAATAAAAAAATAGAGTTTAAGTGCTTATTTTAAATAAAATAAAATGCTGTAGTATTTTCTCATGGTCCATTGAATATATATCGGATTCGTATTTGCTCTGGGTTCAGGTCCGTCTGTGATCCTGGCTGTTACATAAGCAGCTAATCTGGTTGCTGCAGAACGTCTTAACCTGTTAATTATAGTCGGTGACGATGCATCTCTGCCAGGTTACTCTGACACTACGAGTTGTCCTCTGTCTCCTGAGTGCAGGTGTCCATCAAATCTGACCTGGAGTCAGTCTTAAGGGCCGTCCCCACCAAGAACAACTATAACTGTTACGAATGTGGTACCTATAAGGATAATGCAGGTCTGAGAATTCATGCTGTGTAAGCAAACGCTGCGTTAGATACTGATGCCCTGTTTCTGCTGTACAATGCACAGAAAAAGAAGCCCAGGACGGGTGTGGATTTAACAAAAGTCTCCAAAAACAAGAGCAGTTTGGAGACTCTCTGTTTGCAAGCTCATGTTTTTTGATGACAAACTCTATTGGTGCTTAAATATGAATCTACATCAGTTTGATGATATAAGGATTGTTTTACCTGACATGTGGAACAAACACACCTCTGTGCTCCTGATTGCTATAGTTCATACATTACTCAACCATTTCTTAACTTTTTGTCTTACAGGAAGGAAGGAAAATGAAGTCCTTCATAAATGTTGAATCTACTATTTATGGCCAGGACGTGTTTTATCGGCTGTCAGTGTTTTGTGAACGATACCACGTGCCACTGTTACTGGGGTTACGGTTGTGATGAGAACTGCACCATCCTCTTGAGTTAGAATGATTTTTACAACAATATATTCATAGTTAATTGCATAGTCATCATGTTTGGTGCGGGCGGCCCTTTCTCAGTGAATTGTGCGTATATATTATTTAAACACTGTAACAGACAACACAACACCAGAGGGGTACTGTGCCATTTGGTGACTCACCTCTACGATCATACGCAGATCTCTGACGTACATCCTCTCCGTCTCAATGATCTCCATGACGACACGGTCCAGGTAGGTCAGCTGAGGGTTGGGCGCCATGCTGGCGCTGATGAATGGCGACACCTGCTGCCGACGGCTGGAGGCTCGACTTGTCGTCCGCTCTTTGTTGTTGTTATTGTTGTTGTGAATGAAGCTCCGCCCCTTCCTGCTAGGCTGTGGGGTCGTCCCCTCAGTCTCTGCAGCGCCCCCAGCGGGGCTCAGGTCCAGGTTGATGTCGGGGTCAGAGGATGTGGCGGACGACGGAGGGGGGGCTAGGTTGTCGTCTCTGGAGGATCCAGAGCCCGAGGACAGCGTGGAGATCAGGCTCACCGGGCGCCGGTCAGATGCCAGCAGGTCGGAGGAGTCGGAGGGCGTGGCTGACGGAGCGCGCTCATCACTGCTGATGGAGGCAGTGGACAGACGGGGGGACTCTGGGGAGGGGGCAGAGTAATGACGTCACTGAAAACAAACCAGTTCTGTACTATTGTGTCGGATAACACTGTAACCATCAGGTCAAACTACGAATGACAACACTGAACTCAAAACAACGTTTATCCAGCAGATCATTTGAAGAGTTCATTTTCAAAAACAGATGACTCCATTTTTGTAGATTTTCAGAAAATTTATTTTTTCTGTTTGCTTGAGATAATATCAATCAAACTGAAGTTGAGTGGATTTGACTCAGAAGAAATGACAAAAATAGAAGTTTGATTGATATTGTCTCAGGTAGACGATGGAAAAGTGGGTTTTCTGAGGGTTTGTGAAGATGGAGTTATCTTTTGTTGCAAATGATCTCTTCGTTTAAACAGGCAGGTTTAGTTCAGAGATGACCACTGAGCTTCTCCTACTCAGACTTTCACAAGAAAAGCTGTCAGGGAGACGTTAGAGCACAAATAGATGGTCATGTTTGTCTACAGGGGGCTCTCAAAGGCAGACTCTAAGGAGTTTGTTTTTTGTTCCTGAAGTTGACAGTTTGACTAAAACTGTTAAGAAAGAGAACACGATGTCACCACAGCGAGATTATTAATATCATTACTGATGTTTTATCTGTGAGATGAACCTCCCTGAGTTGAAGATAAACACGTAGGAAGAGATAAAGAAATTTCTGACATCCCCTCAGACAGTGAATCATCTGCAGTTTTTAAACATCTGGACTCTTTCAGGTTTCTGTTATCTCCTAAACACAGCTGAGGAATTTCAAGAATCCATACATGTTCATATTTTTTTACTGTGAAGAAACAGGAGGCCAAATTTCCACTTTTT